GTATCTAGTCGAAGACATTACCCTTCAAAATTGAAAAAATTTCCCTCGTTCCCCGTAAATGGGGGAAACCTCCAAAAAAATTACAAATTTAAAAATCGCTAATTTTCGAAATTTTTTCAATTTTTTTTACTAAAAACTGCCGTAACTTTTTCAAAAATGAACATATGAATATAATTTTTTTTTTTGTAGATGCTTGATGTCTTTACCTATCATTTGGTATATTTTTTTTGTAAATTTGATCTTTTTTCTGCCCACAGGGAGGGGATTTAAAATGACAACTTTTTCACAAAAAATTAACTTTTTCAACTTAATTTTTGAAAATGTTCCGGAAGGTCTGACACTTTTATATATATCTTAAATTAAAGCTAATGTAATATACTTTAATTTGAAAAAAAAAATTTGACCTTTGGACTTGTCTACGTGGTGAAAGTTGACATCAAAGTTAATAAAAAATTACGATTTTTGTAAAATAATTTTTGTTTATATTTTTAACTTAATAATGCTCTAACTTTTTCAAAAATGAACATATCAATATAATTTTTTTTTATATAGATGCTTGATGTCTTTACTTATCATTTGGTATATTTTTTTTGTAAATCTGACACTTAACCTGCCCACAGGGGGGGATTTAAAATGACAACTTTTTCACAAAAAATTAACTTTTTCAACTTAACTTTTGAAAATGTTCCGGAAGGTCTGACACTTTTATATATATCTTAAATTAAAGCTAATGTAATATACTTTAATTTGAAAAAAAAAAATTTGACCTCTGGACTTGTCTTCACGGCGAAAATGGCTACCGAATGCTATTTTCGTGTGAAAATTCTCGATTTTATTATTTATATTATATTTAACTTTATAATGCTATAACTTATTGAAAAGTTTATGGATCCACACAATTTTTTTATGAGAAATAATATTTTTTAATAAACCCTTTTTCATTCGACATACTTTATCTTAATCGAGATATTAATAAGGAACCAGCAGATCAAGTAGCTTTTGGAATAAAACACCAATTTTTTTAAAATTAAACACTATCTAAAGATTTGCATCGAAGCGTTTTATTTTGATAGTGATTTTAATCACTGTCAGATATCATTATACTTGATCCAACTATGCCACGTCACCACTGTGCCGCGACCCCCCTGTGTTGGGTTTTTTTTTCCACAATCTACTTCGTAGAAGGAATTTGAGATTTTCCTCAGTATGTGAAAAGGTCCCGTTCTAACTTTGTCCATTTTTCTTCTATTTATTTTATTTCCATTCTCAATGTAAACTTAATCTCTAACTTTGAAGTCATGCACTTTTCTATTTTTATCTACTCTTTTTTGGTAGGCTTCAAAATTTTTTTTCGAATTTTCTAATGCTTTTATCTTATCTTCTACCAAGTTGCTCAATGTCTCTATTGGACTGATGTTTGATTTTTTTCCAAATAGTAAATAAGCTGGTTCAAATTTTGTTGCGCTGTGGATTGTTCTGTTGTACTCTTTAACACATTCTTCAACTATTATTGACCAAGCCATAGATTACACAAGGAGAAAATTTAATTTATGAGAAGTTCTAGCTGATCTTGTTTTTTTTTGTTGAAAATGCTTAATGTTGTTAAGTCATTTGGAGGATTTCAAAAAAATCATTGGAAAATTAAGGTTAATGAAAAAAAATTCTAAAAAATAAATAGTTATTTATTATGAAGTCGTTGAATATATTAAATTGCTTATATTAGGGTTAAATAACTCTTGACTTGATACAGAAAGCCGGACAGCGACAATCAAGTATTGAGATTGTTAAATGACACATAGCATAAGGATACACACTGGAGTCGACTGACTACGATGGCCAGGTCCTTTGGGTTTAAATAGTGTTAGATTGTTTGCCAATTTCGCAATAATTATTTTTACTGTCAATTCATCAGTTGTTAGTAGCAGATGCGTGGTCTGTGTTCTATTATAAACTATTTTACAATAATGATAACGTGACTCCATCACAATACCTATTCTTAAAGAAACAGGTAATTTCATTTCAGTTATAACTAATAACCTTATTAAGCTATATAACGTAATGCTATATAAACGCTTGCCTGAGCAAGCGTCGGGGCAAGCGGGGCACTCACCCCGGGTCCTGCGGTCGTTGGGGCCCCGCGGTTGACTTAGTTTAATTTTTCTTTAGCCTATCTACTTTTTTGTCGGTTGAGCAAAAAAAAAATGTCTTTAAAAAAAATTTACTACTACTAGGGCCCCCACGACTAAATTGCCCCGGGCCCCGCAAAAATTTGCACTTGGTTACTGATAGTTTTATGAAGAAACTTTTATGTTACACCATTGTTTTTTAATTTTAATTGATTTTAAAGAAAGCAATTAAAAAAAGATATGGTTAATGAGAAATTATGTGTATGAATTTTCTGATAGTAGATATTTTTACGTTAATATCCACGAGTTAATTTTTTAAATATTGGTAACAAATAATTTTGTTCTAATGTTTAAGTGAGTTTCAATATACAGAAACTTAATTTTTTGATAGGTTAAACAATTATGTGTTTAAATAATAGTATAATTTATTTTATAAAAATATATAATTTACAAAATATATTTAATAAATGATTTTCTTTTTTTCACTTGTGGTGGTACTTGAGGAATGCTAATATTCTCCTATACAAACATAACAATTCAATAACTTAAAATTAATTAATGTATTATTTTAGATATGTTTAGAATGTTATTTTAGATTGAATTTGTAAATTATATAAGGTAAAATCAATGAGTATATATTTAATATTTCAATTTAGGTTCGATGCAAAGTTGAGAAGAGATTTATTCTATCATGTGTTTTTTATTATCTATTATTACAAACTGCTCACAACTCAACGTTTTGGGCCAATTTTACTCAACGTTAGGTCAAAAGATCTCTATATAATATTTAGTTGAATACAGTATTCTTAAAATTTTAAAAAAATTTCCTTTGTTCCTTAGATATTCTTCAAAAAATGACGTGTATAACTTAATAGTATATAAGTTATTCATTTCTTTGATAAAAGTTTACAAAAAAATACAGTATTTTCACCATGAAGACAAAAGAAAGTCCGACATTTTTTTTTCCATGATAAAGTATATTACATTAGCTTTAATTTAAAATATATAAAAGTGGCAGACTTTCCGGAACACTTTCAAAAATTAAGTTGAAAAAGTTGACATTTTGAATCCCCTCCTGTGAAAAGGTAAAGTGTCAAATTTATAAAAAAAATATATAAAATGATAGGTAAATACCTCATGAATCTAAAAAAAAAAATTATATTGATTTGGTCATTTTTAAAAAGTTATGGTAGTTTAAGTGAAAAAAATTGACAAATGTCGAAAATTTTCGATTTTTAAATTTGTAATTTTTTTTAAGATTACCCCCATTTACGGGGAACGAGGGAAATTTTTCTATTTTTTGAGGGTAATGTCTTCGACTAGATACGATTTGTGATCTTTTGACGTATCATTGAAAGAAATCAGTTCGATGAGAGCTGAGTAAAATTAATAACAGACACAAAAAAATAAAAATAAATAAATAAAAAAACACATCATAGTAAAATTAATACCTTCTCAGCTTCACATTGAAGCTAAAAAAATACATCATAGTAAAATTATTACTTCCTGGTTTTGGCATCCAAGGTCCATTTTCGAAAACTAATAACAATTCAAACATAGAGTGACGGCATATTAAAATTGATCCGCAAGTGTTGGCAAAATTATTTAAAGAAATATTAATAACGAAAACGTTATTAATATTTCGAAGACGATCTCATATCCGTTAAAGGATTAACCTAAAATTAATCTTGATAATTAAATTTGAAAATGTACTTTTTTATTATACTTCAATCAATTATAACATTTTATTAATACAATATATCCAAAAACGAATATGAGATCATCTCCAAAATATTGTTATTTTTCGATTTTATAATGAGTTTTATTGTTTTTAGTGTAGTACTTAGAGTGTAAAATGCATTTCTCGAAGACATGATTTTACGCTCAACAATTAGCTGTATAACATCCTCTTAAGAACCATTAAAATCAACATAAAATAACATATTGATTTCAGTGATATTTTATAAGAATGTTAACATACGTAATTAAATAATTTTTAATTTAAGTTTTTGTTCATATATCAAAACCTGTTTTTTTGGAAACTTAAAGTGGTATAAAGTTAGGTTAACGATCAATTTGCACCCAGAGAAAAACCTCGATCTATATAATAAATTCATTGTTCAATTTGATAAATATATCATTACTATTGAAATTATGATATATTTATTAATATGATAATTTTTTTTCTTGTCTTGAACAATAATTATGTATAAGAATAATTATTTTGTTCGTATTAATAAAACATTATCATAAACCCTTGATAAAATTTCTCTATCAAAATTGATTGAGGTTTTTCTTTGGGTGTGACAAAGTTTTTAAAATTTATAATTACCTAATGGTTCTCTGTCTATAATAAAAAATGAATCATATTTTAATAATTACTTAAAAAAAAATTCAAGTTTGTTTTATTTGATCAATATTCTAGAATGCCTTTAAGTGTTAAAAAAAATAATTTAAACTATATTTTTTCTATAAAAGGAGAACTTACATGTGTGAATTTCATTGTCAATATTTTCAATAAATTTTATGAAATATTTGAGTTAAGCAGTATTTAAATAAATATATACAAAAAGTTATCTAGTTTAGATGAAGATATTTAAATAAAATCTTATTCAGATAAGATAAACATATAAAAAAACTTATTTATAAGAATTTTGTTGTCAATATTTTCAAGTATACAAAATGGGTCAGTGTAGCGTGATATACGCACTATAGTTAAAACAGCAAAAATATTAATTTTTAGTAAAATTTAACAAAAATGTTTGGACTGAAGCAGTTAATATAGACTTGTAAATATTAAATGACACAGGTAAATCGGACCTTGAGGGTAAAACGCCTTACGAATTATGGTTCAATAAAACTCTACTAATCAACAATTTTTAAAAATATTTGACAGTGAATATGATTAACATGTGCCAAAGGAGAAACGACGAAAGTTGGATAAAAGAGGCAGAAAAGATATATTTGTACATTAATATATTTTAATTAAAGTTTATGTTCATAATACCAAAAACTTTTTTTTGGAAACTTAAAGTGATATAAAAATAGGTTAACGAACTATTTGACAATGTTTATAACATTTATAATTACCTGGTTGCTTTTCATCTATAATAAAACATATTATATTTAAACATTTTTAAGTGTTAGAAAAAATAATATTAACTATATTTTTTTTATAGAGGACTAAACACCTCAGGTCACAAGCGGAAATAATTAATATTGTAAACATAAAATATATATTGCAAATTGTAACTTTAGAGGGAGTGCTGATAATTAAAATTTAATGGTATCAATTTATTTTATTGTTAAGTAATATATAATATATAAAACATTTATAGTTTTTGTTGATATAATATTATAAAATAGGTTTTTAGGTGAATGTTTTTTTTCACATCACACCGGGTGTGATGTCATCGCTATTGCATCGTAATTACCGTCGTATATTATATTAATTGTCTATTTTACTTTTACTAAGTTAATTTGTTATTACACTTTTGTTTAAACAGTAGTTAAATATAATTTTTAATTCCTTCTTTTCAACATGTTTGAATCATAATTCAGTATAACATTTTATTTTTAAGTTATGATTGATTTTTTATACCCAATTAAATGTTGTAATAAACAAAGCTCCTATTGTTATTTAACTTAAATGTATATGTATGAAACATTTAACTAACTTGACGTAATTTGTTAATTTTTTTAACATGTGTACTTACCTTTTGGAAAGCAATATGTACACGACTGACGACCAATTTTCATATTTGCAATACATTCTTTGCAAGCAAAATGGTCACAGCCCTCTAATTTCACTCTTGTCGGCTTATTTACATAACAACCTACACAAAAAACTTAAAAAAAAGGTGTAAATTAATATATCTTAATGTTATTATAGATAGAATTTAAAAAAATTATATAATAAAATTAATTGGTAAATATCTAATATTTCATTTTAGCTTCGATGCTAAGTTGAAAAAAAATTTATTCTACTATGTGATATAAAATAAAAAACATATAAAACCAATATAGGACTTAAAAAAACATTAAGGAATCCGGAAGTAATAAAAACACACCGAGTATATATAATTTTGTTAGACTGGATATTATTAAATTTAAAACATTGTAAGAATCATAATTACCTTTTTTTTCATTGTTACCTATAATAAAACATAAATCATATTTTAATAATTACTTTAAAAAAGAAAAAACTCTATACTTATTGATTCATAATTAATTGATTATAAGGCTATTTATTAAGAAATATTATAACAGAATATATAAAACTTTTCTAATATAAATTGATTAAACAACAGAAAAATAAAAAAATTCTGTGTCAATAAATTTCTGATAGGTGTTTTACAGAATTTATTAGATCAATTGACTATTCTTTATAGAGATAAATTTTTCAAGTTATGTCAATACTCTCATTATATTTTTCATCCATGATAAATATACGTATTAGGAAAGAAGGCCAGAGCAAATCGTTACAAATGAATAATTGATTGAGTATTTTGATTTATTGCATATATATTCAAAAAAATGATACCATTTTGTTTATCATGTTTTATAGAATTATTAACATTTTTTTAAATTATATGATGAAATTTCCGTTTTTTAATATAAAAATTAAGACTTTTTAGAAAATTTTAGAACAAGATATGTTTTTATGATATTTTATCGTTTGTAATTTTGTTAGACTGGATATTATTAAATTAAAAAAATTGCAAGAGTCATAATTCAGTAGATAGTTTAATTTTTAAATTATGATTAATTTCTTATTTCTAATTAAATTCTTTAATATTACAAAGTTTCTATTGTTATTTAACTTTTAAGTGCATGTATAATAAATTCTACTTACTTGACGAAGCTTTACTCATCGACATGTAATGACCTAGAAAAATATAGACATAAAAAATAATTAACTCGTCAAATTTCATATTGCACTTTTAGTTTTTATAACATGTAAATAATTTTGTTATATTTATTTGGTCAATATTTATCTGACATAGTAAACAACTAGACAAATTATGATCAATGAATCTGATATTAATCTAGTTAAATACATCAATGCAAAAATTTAAAGAAATTCCTTCAATATTAGAAATTAAAAAATTATCTCACAATCGGAAGCTATTGGAATTTGGAAAAGTCAGAAAATTTACTGAATTTTATAATTGCAATTATTTTTTATTAAAATATCAAATTTGTAACTAAAAATTGTAACATAATATACAATAGTCAACATGCTATATTTAAATATACTATTCATGAAAATCCAATGGAATACTTAAGTTCGGTAAGGGTTTGAACGTTAATATTTATACAAGTCAAATTTTAATACATGCTTATAACTCAATGAGTACTTTTCCTAAAATTGTTATTGACCCATTTAAATTAAAAAAAAAGTTTATTTTATATTTATGATTATGAAAAACAAATAATAAAAAAATATGAGTTTTACGCAGTAAAAGTTGTATACATTTAACTAGCAAATTTATTAAATAATGGTGTAATTAGCAAAATAATAGGTCGATAACAATTTTTAGACTAGTTTTCAGATGTTATTAACATTTTTATACCTAGATAAGAGCCTAGGCCGTATATAGTGCTGCCTAATTATATCTAGTGATAAATATAACAAATCTTGTGCCTCACTTCTAGCATTTACTTTATATTATTAATAAATTCAAAAACATTGGTCCAATAGTTGTTATCAACGAGTCATCTTTTTAATTAGTTTATTTACAATTTTATTAACTAGTTAAATATGTATGTTACTATTTGAAAAAAAAATAAAATTGACACCTTTATAATGTATACGAGATAAACATGAAAAATACTACATGATGGATAATTTGAGAAAAATACATAAATAAAAGAAATCGAAAGTAAATTCTTAATATTAAATTTATTTTTCGATTAATTAAGTAGTCAATGATAAAAGAATCATTCTGTATAAAAATTATTAATTTTTTACCATTATGGATAACCATAAACACGACAGCTGAAAAAAAGACTAAAGAAAATAATTTCTGAAAAATAAAAAATTTTAATTAAAAATATAAAATATTCAAATTTAATATTAAAATTTATAGAATATTTAATTACCATTATGATTTGTAGAAGTGTGTAGTGTAAAATGCAAAAAAAAAAAAACTTGAGAAGAATTTAATGTATTTAGTTGTGTTAAAGAGTTTTTATAGTTAATTGACTAGAATGATTTATTTATTCAGTTGCAATTAATGACAGTCCCTTTTTTAAAATTTTTTTTAACATTATTGATTAATACATAAAAATGTTTTTCTTACATTCGTATATAACTTTTTATTTTTAATCCAATGTATACTTTAAAATCTGCGAATATGAAAACAATAAATTTGAGTGTTTTAACTAATTCGTAAATTTTCAATTTACGTTTTTAAAATATGCATTAAGGATTCAATTAATTTGATTTTTTTGCTGTTTAGATTTTAATTTAGACTACCTGTTATAAATAACAACCGAATCCATTTATGGCTTTCCACTAAGTTTTGAAAAATGAATAGTTTTTGTTTTAGTTAGGTATATTTGACTAGTAAAAAATAATTATTGTAATTTTTCTTTTGTAATAAATGAATCATAGAGTATTCTGAAATTGTAGTATATTTCATGTATTAACGCATTAAATAACATAATTAAAATCTACAGCAGGCAACTACACTCTGAATTTTTATGTGACAAAAATAATGTACTTGACAAGTATACCAGTACTTGTATACTTGTACAAGTAATAAACAAAAGCCAAGTATACTATTCCTACGATTGGATCAAATGCCAAATAATTGTATAGGGGTGGGATCTGAAAAATATTAAGTCATGTATCATTTGCATTTATAGCGCTTTAGTGAATGATTTGAAATATATTCTTTAGTATTGCTAGTTTTGATACCTTTTAGTTTAATATTTTTTTAGTTAAGATAGTTCTTTAACTTTTACCTCTAATTTTTAGTTTTTATTTATCTAATTAATGTTAAGTTAATTGAAATGGCTATTTATGCTTCATACATAATTATGTATGGAGAGTACTTCAATTACAAACAATTAATTGAAAAAAAAAATGCAAAAAAAAAAAGAGAAGATGGTGGATGACCACAGCAATCAGTTAAAAATAGAGTTTTGATAGTGAAACATATTCAATTTATAACATTAATACATTTATCTACTTTTTTTAGTAATTTGGCATTTCCAGTAAAGCCTTTTATTTATTTAATATCTATATACATTTTTCGCTAGCATTCTTATTATGATTACTCACAGGTGATACTTACTGATATAAACGTAAAGAGATATCATTTTACTTAATTTCTATGAGCCGGGTTGCAAAAAGAAAAAAATGGCCGATTAATTTATTTTCATTTAACTATAGCCATCGAAGCTTGAAATAAAACTGTTTTTACATTTATAGTTTTAATATCAGTTTATAAAATAGAAAATGCTATTACTATAAAATATTTTTCAGTACTAAACTGTATTAATCTTGTTTTTGGTACCCAACAACAATAGAAATTAAAGCAAATTTGAGAAGTTTCCCTAAAAGTTAAATAAGAAAAACACGACAGAGTAAAACTAATAGTGTTTCAGCTACACATCGTATTATAGCAACGCATATAATTTTTTACTTGCAAAAATGAAAGAGAAATTTACAAATAAAAACATTTTAATAAAATATTAAACTATCCAATAATATTTACTTTATGCTGAATATTTATAAGTTAATAAGTTATATAATTAATACATTATATAATCAACCTTAACTATTAAATTATATTTACAATTATATCATAAAATAGTTTTACCTATCTGTTAATTAAAATTAACTAATTAGGCCAGTATGAACCACCGCTATACTGTACAAATATAGGTAGCTGAGGGAGGAAAAATGATGTTACCGATAGCCACCCTAAAATCAAATATTGGTCAAGTACTTGACAAGTACACAAGTGTGCACTAGTGAACTACAAGTATAAACTTGTCAAGCCATTAATTCCTTTGACTTGTGTCACATTTACCGGCAATCCGCGGGAAATTGACAAGTGACCAATAATTGTACAAGTGTAATGTTCCGATGGCTTGACAAGTATACACAAGTGACATATATTTGGCAAGTACACCAGTCGTGGGAATCCGCCTTAATGTGTCATTCCAATAATTTTTTCTGTACGTAAGTTCATGATAGTCATGGAGTACGTTTTTTTATATTTCAGCATTACCAGGGCCATCTTAAGGCCGAGGCTAATGAGGCTCCCGCTTCATGATTGAGACACCTCGTTTGGACCCCGCGCTCATGCACTAAATAGATTTAAAAAATCCAATTTTTTTTAAATGCAATAATTTGCGTATATTACTAATATAGTTTGAATTTTTATTTGACAATATTATATTATTAATTAATTAAAATAAGTACGAAATACTTATATAGTATAAACTATGATAATTTAAGTGAATAGTCTATATAATATACTAAACAAATAATATAATATATTATATAAGTTAGTTGAGTTACTGGTAAAGGTTGTAGGTAAAAATATATTGCGTATGTTAACACTTTGAAATGAGAGAGGTTACAGGTTAACTGGAGTATAGTTATCTTCGCGTGGAAACCTTTCCATTTTTTTTGTAAGCCCCGCTAAAAGAGTTATACCCCGGGCCCCGCAAATTGTAGGGACATCATGGGTAATTACTCACTATTTTTACGAAAAATGGGCTGTCGTGTTATATCTACAATGAAGAATTATTACAATTATAGTGTAGAAAAACTATGGTAAGTATTCTTTAAGTTTTTTCCGGTTCTATACGATTAATAAACGAAATATAATCGGTCTCTTAAGTCAATATTCAATTAATTTTTGGCGTATACACCCAGAGAAAAACCTCGATCTATATAATAAATTCATTGTTCAATTTGATAAATATATCATTACTATTGAATCTATGATATATTTATCAATATGATAATTTTTTTTCTTGTCTTGAACAATAATTATTTATAAGAATAGTTATTTTGTTCGTATTAATAAAACATTATCATAAACCCTTGATAAAATTTCTCTATCAAAACTGATTGAGGTTTTTCTTTGGGTGTACGATTGGTTTTTTTAAATCGTTCTAACTATTTGAATACTTNGATTGGTTTTTTTAAATCGTTCTAACTATTTGAATACTTTATAAATCGATATATAATTTTCAGTAGTAATATTTAAGTGAAGTAGCTTCATTTCGTCATACTTTTTTGAAAATTCTATCATTTACTAAACACTGAAAAAGCATAATTTTATATAAGATAAAAAAATAAAACTATCCGAAATCACAATTTCTTGGAGTTATCAGGAATTAAAGTTAAAAATTGATGATTTCGTATTTCATTTACATAGCAACAAAATACTGGCTTCATTCTAAATTATTTCAAATTAAAGCTTTTTTTAATGTAATATATAATTTTAAAAAAAACGGTAGCACAGTGGGGTCGAGGCACAGTGTGGACGAGGCATAGATGGGACAAGTACAGATGATATCTGACAGTGATTAAAATCACTATCATAAGAAACGCTTCGATGCAAATCTGTAGATAGTGTTTCCTTTAGAGAAATTGGTGAAATATTTTAAAAGCAACATGAACTCTTATTTCTTTAATTATATCCTGATTAGTAGTTCTTTGATTTTAAAATATAATATATGAATAAATACTAATTATAGTTTTTAAATTTAGTATGAAATTGTGAGGCCAGCTATGATGTATGGTTCATAGTGTTGGGCGGTTGATAAGAAAGTAGAGCAGAGAATAAGTGTAGCAGAGATGAGAATGCTTAGTTGGATGAGTGGAGTGACTAGAGAAGATAGGATAAGGAACGAGCATATAAGAGGAAGTATAGGTGTTGCGTCAATCGTGGATAAGATGACAGAAAATAGACTTAGATTGTTTAGTCATGGTATGAGGAAAGAAGAATCGAAAGCTGTAAGAACAGTTATAGAAATGAATGTTGAAGGAAGAAGAGATAGAGGAAGACCAAAAAAGAGATGGAGGGATGCTATTGAATGCGATTTGAGGACAGCTGATGTGAGCGTAGAAGATGTGGGAGATCGTGTCAAGTGGAATCTTAGGATAAGGGTGCCCGACCCCAAGTAGTTGGGATTAAGGCAAAGAAAAAGAAAAATATTACCAGATATTCCGGTGGCAATTGACATAATATGATTGTTATTTCGGAATGTACAATTTAGCGTTTAGTTGGGTTTAAATAATATAGCGTCAAATCAATTACCTACTCTATCGGTTGTATCTCAATATACACTACACTTTAATGATACAATAAATAAATAAACTCACACATACACACATATGCATTTATAACATTGTGTCTAATGTAAGTATAACATGATAAAAAGTAACCGTAAAATGAAAAAAATGGAATATAAATTTTATTACTCATATTAAATGTAATGTAACTCGAAAAATATTTGTTTAAATGAAAAAATATAAGATTATATTTTTATTTATAATTGTCTTTTAAACAACTTTTGTGCGAAACTTTTTTTTGTAAGTTAAATATTTTTTTTTGAGAAAATTAAGAAAGCTCATATTTTTGAACTTTTGCGAGGATTTAAAAAAAAAGCTCAATTCCAATCTTGAGGACTATTAGTATGTCATTATACATATTTTAATTCAACTTTTAAAAAAACAAAATTTTTTCCGCAATTTTTCCTTTGTTGACAGGCCTAGATGTCAATTTTAAACTTGTAATTGAGCTAAAAGTTATGGTAATATATTCAATTTATTTTACTATAAACTTTCATAAATCTTTATCAAAAATTTTTCATCAACTTTAAAGAACCAAAAAAATAGGTTAAAATTGAAAATTTGGACTGATTATTTTTAACATATTAAAAATCAAATCAGTAATAATTTGAAAACAAATTTTTTTTTCTTTTAATTATTATTTTATATATATAATTAGTAATAATATAAAAAATTAGAAGTGATAGAAATAGTCTACTTGCAGATTTGAAAACAACGCGAAAATTTGATTTAGAAAAGTATATTTTTGCTTCTGATGAAAGTTCCTTGTAGTCCAGTGCATTTTTTTATAGTAACAAACAGTTTTTATTGAAAATTATTGTATCAAGCCCTTTAAATTTTTATACACGTAAAAGTAAAGCAAAATA